AGCGGGGGTGGTGGTGGGGGGGGTGTTATTTTATCTGGCTGGAGGTTTAAATTCTTCTGCTCATTGGGAATAAAAACGTCACTGCTAATCATGGTCTAATTAAATAGTTGAATTTCTCACTGATACAGTCTCTGAAAAACTCATGGTTATGACCAGAGTCATATACTGAGGTACTACAGTCAGGACCATATACTGAGGTACTACAGTCAGGACCATATACTGAGGTACTACAGTCTGAACCATATACTGAGGTACTACAGTCTGAACCATATACTGAGGTACTACAGTCAGGACCATATACTGAGGTACTACGGTCAGGACCATATACTGAGGTACCACGGTCTGGACCATATACTGAGGTACTACGGTCTGGACCATATACTGAGGTACCACAGTCTGGACCATATACTGAGGTACCACAGTCTGGACCATATACTGAGGTACCACAGTCTGGACCATATACTGAGGTACTACGGTCTGGACCATATACTGAGGTACTACGGTCAGGACCATATACTGAGGTACTATGGTCAGGACCATATACTGAGGTACTACAGTCTGAACCATATACTGAGGTACTACAGTCTGAACCATATACTGAGGTACTACAGTCTGAACCATATACTGAGGTACTACAGTCAGGACCATATACTGAGGTACTACGGTCAGGACCATATACTGAGGTACTACGGTCAGGACCATATACTGAGGTACCACAGTCTGGACCATATACTGAGGTACTACAGTCAGGACCATATACTGAGGTACCACAGTCAGGACCATATACTGAGGTACTACGGTCAGGACCATATACTGAGGTACCACGGTCTGGACCATATACTGAGGTACTACGGTCTGGACCATATACTGAGGTACTACAGTCAGGACCATATACTGAGGTACCACAGTCAGGACCATATACTGAGGTACTATGGTCAGGACCATATACTGAGGTACTACAGTCTGAACCATATACTGAGGTACTACAGTCAGGACCATATACTGAGGTACCACAGTCTGGACCATATACTGAGGTACCACAGTCTGGACCATATACTGAGGTACTACAGTCAGGACCATATACTGAGGTACTACAGTCAGGACCATATACTGAGGTACTATGGTCAGGACCATATACTGAGGTACTACGGTCTGGACCATATACTGAGGTACTACGGTCTGGACCATATACTGAGGTACCACAGTCAGGACCATATACTGAGGTACTACGGTCTGGACCATATACTGAGGTACCACAGTCTGGACCATATACTGAGGTACTACGGTCAGGACCATATACTGAGGTACTATGGTCAGGACCATATACTGAGGTACTACGGTCAGGACCATATACTGAGGTACTATGGTCAGGACCATATACTGAGGTACTACGGTCAGGACCATATACTGAGGTACCACAGTCTGGACCATATACTGAGGTACTACGGTCAGGACCATATACTGAGGTACCACGGTCTGGACCATATACTGAGGTACTACAGTCAGGACCATATACTGAGGTACTACGGTCTGGACCATATACTGAGGTACCACAGTCAGGACCATATACTGAGGTACCACAGTCTGGACCATATACTGAGGTACTACAGTCAGGACCATATACTGAGGTACTATGGTCAGGACCATATACTGAGGTACCACGGTCTGGACCATATACTGAGGTGCCCCCCCCCCTCCCCCAGTGTGATCCTAGTCTCAGACTCTGTTCCATCTGAACATCAGTTCCTAACTCTGGAACGGGGGGATCTAAATGAACTAAATTTAATTTTAAATTAAATTTAATTTAATTAAAATTGAAATGCCCTAAATAACACACACACATCTGTGTCGACCTAGCATCGCTGACTCGGTTGTGTTTTTATCTTTATCTCAGTAACTCCCGTCTTCACGAACACTCCCAGAGACCAGACGGTTGTGACGGGCCAGGACGTCCGTATTCCCTGCAGGGCCCAGGGCCAGCCGCAGCCCGGC